TTACGCAAACCAGAGACCTAAAGCTTAAGGAAGTTTGTTTCCACCACAGGACAAAAAAAAACTTTTTTTCAGAATTCAGTCAGAATTGTGAGAGAAAAGTCATATAAACTCAGAATAAGATTAAGAAAAAAAAATGAATTTTTTAATTTTTTAATTCCATGGCAGAAACAGAATTGTGATATGCAAACTCTGATTTCTGAGAGAAAAAGTCAGAATTGCGAGACGTAAACTTACTAATCACAAGTTTATAATTAAATATAAAGTGAAATATAAACTCAAAATTCTAAGAAAAAAAGATGCAATGAGCTTTTTATTTTTTTACTCCATGGCAGAAACAAGATAGCTCACGGACATGCAGCAGACAAACGAGACGACATGTATCAAATGTACAACTGATGCCGTTTAATGTGTAATAATGTGTAGCTAGGCACATATTTTAAATTAGAGATCAACAGATATTGACTTTTTTTTATAACCGATACTGATGTATTTACGTATGTCTGATATGCAGAAACGATATTTATTTATTGTTTTACTTCTGTTTTTGGTATTGTAAATTTATATTATTGTAATTATTTAATTGTTATTATTATAAAATGTTTAATTTATACATAAATGATCAACTTTGCATAAACAATCATTTAAATGAAGGCTTAGGTTTGTTTATTTACCTAAAGAGTAATAATTACACATTGTCAGGAAAATAACAAACCAAACAGTAAATACATTACATTAGGATCCATTGCCAATGGCATGTTATCAGAATTATTAATGTTTTTGTCAGTCTAGATTATGAAATACCTGCTGATAGCATTTATCGGTGGATATGATATAACAAAACTGATATTCGATTAAGTAAAAGGCTTAAATATCGGTAAAATATCGGTAAAACCGATTATCAGCTGATTTTAATGCAAAGATTGAGACTTTCAGTTAGACTTCTGAACTTCATGACCCATTCAAGTCCCTCAAACTGAAATATGTGTTTCACTGCAGAAAATCGCGTTAAATAAAGCTGAAAAGAGGACATTTAATTATGGTCAAATCAGAGTGCGGTCGAGAAAAATACAGTAAACTATAGCTGATCTGAGGGCTGGTTTAGATATTGTCTAAGTTCAGGATTGTTATGCAGTGCTGGCCAAAGTGATTATAACACTAGTATTCTCAGCAGCTAAAAATGGTTTTAAGTCAGTTATTTCTATCTTTTTATTTAATAATTATAATATGACCACATGGTGAACCTATCAACCGAACTCATATAAAGCATTGTAGCAATAGCCAACAATACATTGTATGGGTCGAAATTATCAATTTTTCTTTTATGCCAAAAATCATTAGGATATTAAGTAAAGATCATGTTCCATGAAGATATTTAGTAAATATCCTACCGTAAAAATATCAAAACTTAATTTTTGATTAGTAATATGCATTGCTAAGAACTTCATTTGGACAACTTTAAAGATGATTT